GGAGAATCCGACCCAAACGCCTTCCAGCTGCTGACAGCACGTTAGCTTGCATTCCATAATGTCGTACAAACAAAGACACGACCACTAGTGCCGCTGAAGGCCGCAGACTCAATGTATCCATCCCACACCGCCATTCTTTATCGGCCCGTCCGCCTACTCGTCATTTAGGCCAGACTTGTCCATGTTCTCTTGCTTTCACTCTCCAGAAACTTCTGAGAGTTAACGTAAATATGAACGTAAAATTCCCGCCTCCCGCTCCCAGCATACACATCCCAAACAGAATAAATCACAACAAATAGCATTCTTCATCAAACCACCCTTGCGTTCTCTATACAATAATGTTGGGAAGTTCAATAAAATCAATACAATATGTGTGTATATCCCTTTGGTGTGTCTCTCTATCCTCTGTTAAGAATAACTGAACATTTTGTGATCTGAGCATTGCAGCCTTTAATCTCATTTTAAATCTTAATAAGCCATAGATATCGCTCCACTTTAGATGAGCTCGCGCAGAGTTGTAAGTGCTTCGTAACTGCCTCAATTCATGAATCGCGCATCAATAACTGTAAGCTCTTATAGGCGATCATTAGAATGATTTGTGATTAGCACCATCGGAATGAGAACGTTTGGAATAGTGAGTGTGCAAGTGCATGCAGAAATGTACAGTAGCAATGAAGAGAACAACATTTATACTGTATATAAACCACACAGTATGACATTACAGCAAACATGCTTTATAAATGATGAATCAGTATTAATATACATAACTAAGGTGCTCACTGATGATAAACATTAGAACTGTTTATAACTAATACTAATGTGGATTCATGCGTATATAAATGATGAATTCATTAATTTATTCATGCTTAACTAATGCTTAATAGTGTGTACTCATTATATAAAGTGTTACCCAAAACTCTCTATAAAAATGGTGTATTTATGACTAGAATTTTTTTTTTTTTTTAAAAAGACTGAAAGACGCAGAGCCAGAGGTAGACATAAAAAACATGTTACTGTGGTTAATGTGCAATAAATAGATTACGGTACAATCCCCAGGTCAATGTGCAATACACTGAGTCATTCTTTGTAATAATCTGTAACTTCTGCAACACCACAATCTTTAAAAACTCATTACTATTTAATTTCTGTCAGCACATACTGTGGAATACATTTACTTTGTATATATTAGCATATATTGTGTATATATTTTATTAAATAAGGTACCTTAAGTAAGGTACATAGGCTCTTATTATATTTATATTATAAATATTTATATTTCCATTTTTATTTTATTTTTACTTATATGTATATACCTATATATACATTTCTACTCTATATATTGTATTAGATATTGCAATATAAGTTTCATTTCTATTCTTTAACATTGTGTCACAACTGTAACAAACAAATTTCCAACCAGGGATCAATAAAGTATTTCTGATTCTGAAAGGAGAAGTGGTGAAAGGAGTTGTTGAAGTTTAAGTATAAGCACTGGGCAATGGTGGAAGTGAAGGCATTGATGTTTTGTATGAAGAAATCTCCATTTTTACATTAACTCAAGCTGTCAAAGAAATGAAAAAAGGACAATATTTCCCTCTGAAATGTTGGAGAAGAAGTAGCTTACAAAGTGTCATGAGAAGAAAAAGTACCTGAAATGTGTACTAAGGTACATTCCACCAGCAGCGCTGGGTGAAGCTGAGGTATCGGGGGAATTCAATTGCAGAAAAGAGTTGAAATGTCAAAAATCGTGTAGCCTAAGTGCTGAATTGAACAATAAGTGTGGAAGTCCTGAAAGAAATTAGTGCAAGCTCAAGTACAATAACTGAAATACACTGTAAACTGAAGGCGAGTTTATTGCACAATTCACACAAGTGCTTTACATATACTTTCACTTTGAAAGGAATTCATATTTCTACAGTGACAGTGTCAAAGCACTTGGCATGAAAGAAGATTGACTTTTTTCATCCACAGTGGGGAAATGCTTTTTTCACTGTAATCTTTACACATATATTCCTAAAATACAAACACATGCACAAAATCTATGGACACAGAAATGTGGAGAGTGATGGGCTGCCTTGTAGCAGTACCACAGGAGCAGCTGGGTTCATTGGCTTGCTCCAGGGCACCTCAGCAAAACCACCCACCCTCTGGTTTGCAAGACAAGTCCCTACTGACTGTAATATGTAAAGTCACTACTAAATCTATAAACTATTTAATGTAATGATTAGGCTCTCTATTTTTTTTAAAAATAATGAAATTCAGGTTTCTGGTAGGAGAGCAGGACAGTTAATGGTCAGTAGTTTGGTTGGTTAGGGACTGGGCTGACACCCAACCTGAAAGTAATATGGATTTATTAAGAGAAACAAAGTGGAACAAACATTTATTGTAATGTAGAAAACATAAATATTAGTACAATAAACAAATGGAAAGAAAAAAGCAAAATCATAAATATACAATTGTGTTGAATAAGTTGAAGTAAGTAAAGTCTTATTATAAAAACATATTGAGGGTATTAAGCATTCATACTAATTTCTTTACAACTATAAAATAGCTTATCTGTATTTAAATTAGACTTCATGAAATTGTGATAGTACAAAGTAACATTCATAATTTGTGCCTAGAATGTCTTCAGAGATACATGTTAATATTAAATAACATATCTATTTATATGGCAAGTTACAGAATGCTTTATTGTCATTATATAAACTGCACAAATCATAACAAAAAACTAAATTAAATTAAATGTTTAAATGCAATAATGTACTATATATAAATATATATAAATGTATATAGGTATATTAAGCTGCATTGTATTAGGCAAGAAGGACGGTATTCACATTTATGTTTTAAAAAACAAAATAAGTTATGTATGATGTACATGTACAGTAAGTCTTGTGCTTTATATTACTCTAAAATGTTTTTTTTCTCTCTTGCATAGCTTGACATGTTCCTATTGTGAGGCTCTTACTGGGTGTGTTGTATGTAAACCCTACATCTGAATGTCTGTCATGTAAAAAAACAAAAACATTTTGAGTGAAGATTAAATAAATACATATTAAAGTACAAAAACTTTTGATGAATCTGTAAAAAACAAAGGTTTGAGTATTTTGAGTTCCTATAAGCAGTAGGTGTCACCCTACTCACATTAAAAAAAAGGCTGGCTTGCATGGCAGTGAATATATTACATTAATATGTGGATATGTTGGATTTAAACAGTAATGAGGGCTTTTGTGAGAGTGATGATGACAAATCCTCTAGAGGACTAATGTAAGTAAAGCTCTTTCCGTAGTGTGTGTTTCAGGTCGATCTGGTACATTGCTCCAGGATTCCTTTTGTTATATTCAAAGATGGCCCCATTCACTTCGGTATGAACATCTACAAGATGTGTTTTCCTGTCAAAACACAAACAACAGTTTAGTCTATAGCTTCTACATGACACAAACAGCAGTTCACTCTATAGCTTCTCCTGTCTATCATATGGAAACTGTCTGATACTGAACAGAAGTTTTGTCTGTACCTCCTTTGGCCTTTGTGTAAGGCATCCGTCAGAGCCTTCAGGTAAATGGAGCGATGGTTTCTCTGCTCCAGTTGACGTTCATCTGTCCAGCAGTGACTCCAGAACACATCTGCATCTATAGGGATCAAATCACATCTAGGCAGCCTATCACACCCATCTGTCTCCAGATCTTCATCTCGGTGGTCCATCCTGGCATACGGCTGAAACTCTGGAACACTGTATCTCTGGATGAAGAAGACTTTGGGCTTACCAGCCAGCTTGGGGCACACGTCGGCAGTGAAAAGACGTCTGACGTTGTCCAGGTGCAGATCTACGTTGTACAAGTCTGTACCCAGGAGGTGATTTGTCGTACCACGGCTAATGATACAACAGACCAAGCCATCGCCTTCAAGGTTCTCTCTCTGTCTGATGATCCCTCTAAGAACTGAAAGGGTGTCATCTGCACTCAGCCACTTGTGGAGGATTACGTTGAAGTGAAGGGCCTTAAATGTTTGTTCCAACATGTCTAAGTGAGTTAGGAAAGATGAAACCAGAATTTAAGTTTAAGTTCTAAAACACAAATATATTCAGTTTACAACAACATGAGACAAAGAACAGCAACAGAATTGTCCCTTAATAAATGACTAAATCAATTAATTGACTATCAAAGTAGTTGCAGATTAATTTTCTGTCAGTTGACCAGTAGTAGTCCAGTGGTTCCCAACCCTTTTTCCTCCAAAGGGAGCCCTTTTTATCATGTGACCTAAAACTGCTGATTATTTCACATTATATATAGCAATTACAGAACAACTGATAAGACTGTACGCAGTGAGTGCAAAGTTTGTGTAAGGCCTTGCAACCCCCTCCCATTAAGCTTTGGCGACCCCCCTAGTGGGGGTCTTGACCCCCCAGGTTGAGAACCACCTGACTAGTCGATTAATGACTTAATTGTTGCTATCACTAATTCAAATCAAAACATTTATTTTCCAGCCAGTTCATGTAACTAAGTACATTTTAGCTCAAATGCTGTACAATGTTGACCATTTGTACTAGACTTCTTCACCGTTTTCCTGCTACTTTTTATCTGTCTGGCAGCTATAGTTGACCGAATTACTGTATTCAGAAATAATATTTTACCTAAAAAACAGCGATGTATAAACTTAGAAATACATTGTTAAAAATGTATTTTAGTGGTTCCCAAAATCCGTTGTGCTTTGTGACTTGGCTTCAACCAGAACAAGACACTTCCCATCTAAACTTCTCACATGGTTTCATTTAAATAACAGTTTGAGACCAAAAAAGGTCAAAGTATCGATTATTTTACAAAAAAAAGCAAAGATAAGACAAAAGTACCAGCAATGAAAACAAATTTGTGGAGCAGGACTTTGTTTTCTGTCCTTCCTCGTTAATTATCTTACAACTCCTCAGCTTTATCTTGTGACCCTTTGAACTCCGACCCTGAGGCTGGAAACCAATGGATTAAACTACCTATCTGTGAGATAAAGCTAGCCCCGTCTTGACCAGCTAAAACAGTAAAATTCTGCTTACATATTGATTTATTAGTATTAAACATCTATTTTGTAATATATAATAATAATAATATACCAGTCAAGGAACATTTTTCTGCCTTCTTCCTTAAGTGATAATATGTCTGTACTTTCACTTAATTGTGATTTTAAATGCAGAACTGTAACTTCTAATGGAGTACTTTACACTGGTACTTGTATTTAAGTAAAATAACTGAATACTTCTTCCCCCACTGGACTGTAGATACAAAGTGTGTTGTGCCTCACCTCCGTCATTACCCACGCAGTCTATGATAACACAAACTCCTCTGGGATAAGTGTTAAATTTGTACAACTCTAGTTGACTCTGTAATGCAAAGGAACAAGTAAAGCAATTTCATGAATGCACTTTATTAATTAAACACAACTTCATTAATTAAATATTGACATAAAATTGCAACAATAGTGAGTGAAGATCTTACCTGACAGCTCTGCGCTCTGTATACAGACACTGGTATGTTTTCTGCCGATAATGACAAAGAGTAATACAGCAACATGAATATCAAAGTGAAAGACAATGAGGGACTCGGGGCTTTCCAGCTGATATTACCAGGTAGCTAGGTGATGTAATATTTGCTTATTCTAGTTTGTTCCATATTTCACTTACAGTATCTCTAGCAAACACAAATTGACATTGAAGTTGCTGGTATTTGCTAATATGAAACCTGTCTTACCAGTGTGAGAGGACTGTTCTTGTCTTGTTTGCTGTAGAAGATGAGAACTATGTGGAGCCAGAAATGGGCGCTGAGGAGAAGATGTTTTAGTTATTTCAGTATTAGTTTCATGAGCGAGTATATTAATACAATCAGTGTTAACCTTTGTGCTCATACTTACAGGAGCTCTGCACCATTGCTGTTGAGGTGAATGTTGTTCAGATGTCACAACTGGGAAAGGTGAACACAGACAGATGTAAATTAAAGTAATAAAGGTTTATTAAGTTACTTGGTCAGGAATTAATTCCATGTGCCAAATCCACCTCTGTATGTTTTTGTGCTCTAAATACATTTATAGACATTCCACATCTCCACATACACTCAACTCCTTATGTAGGATATGTGGTCCTTGCACACTTGGTATGGTATATTGGTTTGATTAAGGTTTGTTTTGTTTTATTTGTTTAGAGTAAAATAGAATAATGAGATTTGAAATAAGCTAAAACTTATAACATATTGTTGAATAAATACAGAGTTTAGTATTGTATTCATTTCTGCATCCAACTGAGGTATGGTATCTTAGCACTACAGCTGTACTGGATGCTGGTATCAATGAACATGATAGGCTTTGTCAGTTATGCGAGTTAAATGAAACCAGAATGAAATGCATTTTGTTTTATATTATGATTTATATCGTAATCTGGGAAATAAAGAACAATTACTTTTTTGTTTGAACACAATGAAATGCATTTTTGCATCATATTAAGTACTTGAACAATGCATGGCTTTTTCATATGAGGGGTCTATTCTTATGTTTCACTTTCTTTTCTTTGGTTTAAGACCAATGTACAACATATGGTGTGCTCTGTGTTTTACTAGCGTGTATAGTGGTCCATTTCAGTGGTAGGAAAATTCATTTTCAGTTCCCATTTCATAGTTAACCAGTCTAAAGAATATGTAATAATTTCATACTTTCATACGTCTGCTTCTGTCACTTCTTTTCCACAATCTGAGCCATTTATTATTAAATGGTAAAAAGCAAATAGAATCTCACCTGACACCTTGTAAGCAGCCACTTTTTTGGCTAGATCAACCCTGTCGACATTCATTAAACATTCCTGTACAAAGTCGACTCTTTCAGGGGAAACTTTATCCAACTTCTCAAGTTCAATTATCACATCCAGGAAACTCTGTCATAGAAGAGAGAGAGAGAGGGGGACAGAAGGCAAGTTGAGAATGTAAATTGTTGACATTTTGTATGACACCAAAACTCCCCTCCCCTCCCACACACACACACAAAGAATTCAGTAAATGAAAATAAAACAAACTTTTCACTGTGTTTCACCTTTGCTTTTTCCATTTTCTCACGAGGTAATGTGCTGCTTAACAAGAACTTCATACTGTTGAGATCTTCATCGCACAAATCTTCACTTATATTAGCCATCAATACTCTGCAGTAAGGGGAAAAACACACTATTACTTCAAGAGCCACAAGTATGTTTCTAACTTGGATTGTTTAAAATATGTATATGACCGGTTTGACTTCTTTAAAAACAGATCTTACCTGAATCTTGGCAGGACCTGCCTGTATGTCATAGCCCTCTCCACCTCATCCCTGCTGGTTTTACACACCTTCCTGAGGATATCAAAACGTCTGAGGTGCAACAGCAGCTCTCGCAGATAAAGATCTCCCGTGTCATGGCTCATCACTTTACATTGCAGCATCTCCTTCATACAAGCCACACTGCTGTCCATGTCCGGGCTCTCACACAGGTAGAGGAGTCTCCGGCACTCGTTGCCGTTCAGAGACTCTAGTATCTGGTTAATCACCTGCAGCTGATGTTGGTTTTCGAGAGCCATGGAGTTTGGTAGACGAGGAGTGGACAGTGGTAGTAGTTGACAGACTGGTATGGCTACAAACGAAACGAGATGGAATCCTAATTAACCTTCGTGAGAGTATAACAAGGAATGCATTGGTTATTGAGAGGATTAATTAAAACAACCCACCTTGTAGCGCCGAAGTCACGAGATAAAGAGGAATTACAAACCACGCTGGAAAGATGACGCACTACTAAAGGGTGTCTTTCGGAAAGTACCATGTAAACCCCTAGAGTATTTAAAAACCGGAACCGGCCTGAAAATAGGTCCACTTGCCTTAAAAGGAGAGAGGTCTTAATTCCGTTTAGTGCCTGTTAACAACCCAATTAGTCTGAGTTTTAAACATAAACTACGCTGTGGCTCTGATAGCTAAAGTGAAAGTGAAAGCAAAAGGGCGGTAACGCTTTGATAACAAAAAACTTAAAGGCACATAATATGTGGCAGCAGATGATCTGAACCAAAATCCATTTATTTACAATTTATTAGCGTTTAAAACTGCAGACTTGATGGATTTAAAGACTTTATGAGCCTTAACATTTGTAACTGCAGATGTGATGGCTTATTGGAAAACCATCAGCGTGCATAGATTAATTGTATAAAAAGTTCCTAAAAAATATCAGGAAAACTCGTCTCTGAGGCTCTGAACAGGAAACAATCTGCTCGAAATTCATCCAAAATCACTTATTTCACACTAACTTCCTGCAGTTATTGTTTTCACTTTTATGGGTTCATTGTACAGTTGTTCTCAGGGGCGGAGCTAGAGGGGTAGCCGGGGTAGCACTGGCCACCCCTGGAACCAGTTGATTGACATCACGTCGAAAACAGAGAGATTTTTAAACGCAAACAGAGA